CCCATCTGCTGGTTCCAGTTTGGGGCTGGAGTCTGGGTCGGATTCAGGGCCTATGCGAGCCCCCGTGGGGGTCCCAGGCATGTGAAGCCCCATTCTCTGTCCCTGCTGGATGAGATGGGGGTCCCGGACCAGCATCCACGTGCAGTGGGGCGGGGATGAGGTTCCGGGGTGCAGTCAGAGCCACCACTCCCCTCTGCAGGAACTGTATTGGGCAGACGTTTGCCATGGCCGAGATGAAGGTGGTCCTGGTGCTCACACTGCTGCGCTTCCGCGTCCTGCCTGATGACCAGGAGCCACGCAGGAAGCCGGAGCTCATCCTGCGCGCGGAGGGCGGACTGTGGCTGCGGGTGGAGCCACTGAGCGCTGGTGTTTGCTGACAACCTCCCCCTCCTGCACACTCCACCACCTGCCCTGGGTGGGTCAGTCTGCTGTACACACCCCAGTTTGAAGATTCCCAGGAATAAAATTGTTGCTGTCACCTCTTTCCTAGCCTATTCTACAGTCAACGGTGCACATGGACCTGTGTGCTGGTCAGGTGGTGGGCGGGCTGGTGACTCTGAGCACAAGAGCCTGACTCCCTCCGCAGCTGACCGCAAGGCCGCCATAATGATTGAGAGGTCGCCCAGAGCCCAAGTGTGGATTTTTTTCTGTGGACAGTAAAGAGCCATGGGAGGTGTTTGAGCATGAGAGCAACCAGGCTTAAGGATGTGCTTAAGAGGCACCTTTGAGGCTCAGAGTCAAAGAGGAGCTCCCTCTGTGGTAGACTGATTCTTGGCGCTGCTAGTGCCTCCCCCACGGAGGCCCCTGGCAGCCCAGAGCACTTTGCAGGGAGCGTCTGCAGCCCACGCCCTGGCAGCCTCTCCAGGAACCTGTTTCCTTCCCGCTCTTGCCAACAGCCCCACTCCCGTGTCTGCTCCTCCCAGGCAGTCCCGCTGACCACCCCCTGCCCTGTCTTCAGGAAGCCCGTTCTCTTTCCTTCTCTGGGGCCCCTGAGGCCGTCCAGGCAGCCTGGCCCATAACCGATCCCGGCTGAGCCCCGCGATGTGCTGGGTGCTCCCACAAGGGTGTGAGGAGGAGGCTCATCTCCAGCGTCCTCCCCTGTGCTCGTCACGGGCCCTGCGGTCCATCTCTGGTGGGGCAGGGCCAGGGCCATCCGCGGCTCTTGACGTTCAAAGCCAGACCTTGGGCTCCGGTCTCGGCTCTGCCCTGTGACCTGGGCAAGTTAATTCCCCTCTCTGTGCCTCAGTCTCCGCAGCTGTGTAACGGAGACCACAGCAGCTCCCATCTCAGGATGTCTCTAGGACTGCACGAGAAGGACTTGGAGGTGTGCTCCGCACAGAGGACAGGCTCAATATTTGTGGCTGCAATGGCTTTTTCTCTCCAAAAGCCTGGCTCCTAAGGCATGTTTCCTTGAAGACTGTAGTTTCTGTGATGAATCTTAGGAACTCGGAACTCCCAGCAAGCCTTGTAAGGTTTGTGCTCATGGCGTCGGCTGCTTCCACCTTGGGGGCCATGCCCAGCGGAAGCTCACAGCAGTACCCTGCTACCGGTATTGACTTCCTTTCATAGCCGAAGGGACTCTGCCCCACCGAGCCCCTGCTGAGCCCTGGACCCTTCTCTCCAGCTCGTCTCCCCCTCGCTGTACCCGGTCGCTCTGGCCTCCCATCTGCTCCCCAATCCACCCGGTCCTTCTCCACTCAGGGCCTTTGCACATGCTGGTCCCTGTGTGGGGTGCTCCGTGCTCAGCTCTTCTGTGACTGACGCTCATCATTCAAGGCTCAGCTGAAACATCACTTCCTCAGAGTTATTCCTTCACTACTGAAGTACTACCCGACCCCAGTTCATTTCTATCCCACTACGCCCTTTATTCCCCTTACAGCTCTTATTGTCATCTGAAATGATCTTGTTTACTTAATTGTGCGGACTGTTTACTAAGGTTTAAAATATCAACAGTTTCATTGGTAAGAAGCTGCAAGGGCTTTTGGGCTGACCTGGCCCCAGAGCATAGACAGTGGATAAATGGCCCAGTGACTCTATATGCTCTCCATGAAAAGATTCAGTGCAAGGAGGAATTTCACATGTTCTGTGGTAGGGTGGGCCCTGTAAAACACATCACAGCAAACAACACATCAGTGACTCTTCTGGGAAAGAAAAAAATGGAGCTGCAGTTACAAGTTTAGAACCCTTGAGTTTCGCACAGGTGAACAGACATTTTTCTGCAGGACTTCTCAGAGCATTTAAAATTTGAACATGGCTGAGCATCTTGAAAAAGGCCCCAAGTATGGACTGCTTTGCAAATAAGGATGCTAACGCAAGGTGATGAGAATTTCCTGAGTGTATATTATGCACTAGACCCCCAGTGACATGGCAATGGAGACCCAGGTCTCCAAGCCTGTAAGAGGAGCTTGGATTTGAATGTGGATCTGAGGGGAAGCTTGGTACAGAATCATGCTTCCAAGGAGGCCTCTGTAGAAATTATAAGCTTAAATTTAAACCATGGGACTAATAGGAGTGGACAGAAAATTAGTTAAAGAATCTCCTTTGGGACATGTGGTGTAGGTGGGCTGCACCCATGCACAATCAGTAAATCAAGCCCTGGGTTGCGCCAGCTCTCTGATGAACAGAGAGAAAAGACAGCAGAGCATACTAAAGCCCTAACCTCTCCAAGTAAGGTTTCTCTAAATCCAGCAACTGGGAAGAGCCCTGCAGACTGGCCAGCAGCTCCCCACCCCCAGTGTCTCCTGCTCCTACCCAAGCACAGCCTCCCTATCGACATCTCCCATCAGAGTGGTACTTTGTTATAAATGATGAATGTACATGGATACATTATTACCCAAACTCCACACTTCACATTAGATTCACTCTTGGTGTTGTGTAATCTATGGATTTTGGCAGATGGATAATGACGTGGTTGAGAATGAGACTTGTCTGCATAAAGGGAGAATGAAATAAAATCACACATGAAAATTGGAAATTACAAAGCAATAGAGATTTGAGGACAGGATCCCAAATCCCTGCATTTACTAGAACAGTACTTAATGGATTCCTGTTTTGTTTTCTGTCTAAAATTTACAGATCTGTCCCTGACAATTGAAGTAGTCTCCACCAGATGGAAAGGACCTTAGGAGGCTGTCATGCCTTCTACAGCCAAACGGGGAGTCATCTCCCCACTCATACCATGTGCCTCGTCTCTGTTTGAAGCCTCCCTTCCTCCCCGGGGTGGGCCATTTTCTCTTTGGGGGCCTTTAATCATGAAAAAACTCTTTTTCTCATGAATGATCCAAATTTCAGATAGTTACTGATACAGTTTCATGGTGTAACATTCTCATACACGTGGGAGGCATTTAGTTCAATGTCTAGAAAACAGTATTTTAAAATCACGATATGCTTTCTATTTGCTTTGAGGCACTAATATAGATATGTAACTCTTTGATTCATTTATTCATGTTCCTTTGAATTATTTTCTCCTCACTATGAGACAAACACCAGGGCAGGGGCTTCATCTCACTCTCTCTGCACTCAAATTCCCTGGAACACAGAAAGTGCTCAATGAGCATTGGATGGATGAATGAATGGGTAAGCTCTCTGCGCATGGGGTAGGGTGAGGAATTAGTTGGTGGGCTCAGGTCCCTGCTGAGTGATGAAACATTATCTAGCATGTATTGAGCACTTACTAAGTGCCAGCACTTTACATGCAGCACATCACAAGGTAGCTGGTATTATTATTCATCTGTTTATTTGCAGGTGGAAGCTTACAGAGGTCAACTTACCAAGTTTACACAGCCAGGAAGTGGCAGAACCAGTATCTGAACCCTAATCTCTTAGCTATGAGTCAGTGCCCTAAAGCAGGAAGCTATTCATGCTCCTCTTGTCCATTCATGTGTTTTTAAGTTTAAGAATGTGAAGAGAAATGAACAATTCACACAGGCACACGTGATATAGAGCACCCAACATCTAGTAGGCATGCTTTATATAGAGTACCTGACTCACAGAGGGAACATTTAATACCCGGCAAACAGTGGACATGCTTCCTGTAGAGAACCCAGCACACAGTAGGTACACTTTGTGTAGATAACTTGGCACACAGTAGGCTTGCTTTATGTAAAGTACTTTGCATGGAGTAGGCTTTCTTTGCATAGAGCACCTAACACACAGTAGGTGTGCTTTATTTGGGGAACCTGGCACACCGTGGGCACACTTCCACAGAGCACCCCGTGCAGAGTAGGTTTGCTCCATGAGGAGCGCTGGCACCCGGCAGCACGAGGACGAGCTGCCAGCCCCTTCCCTTTATTCCGTGTGCTCTGGGGCTCCTGATCCTTCCCACCTTCTTCTGGAACCTTCCTCTGCCTGCTGCAACGACCCCCTCTGACATCCATGTCCCAGCTGGGAAGATGAGCCCAGAGACGCCGGCACAGCCCTTGTCAGAGCGGGTGGGGCAGCACTGCTCCCTGGGCCTCCCAGCTCCGCCCCCCCTGTCGGGACCCCCTGCGAGGGCTCACCGTCCCCCCAGGCCCCCGGTTTCCCCTTCACCCGGGCCCTTGTCCCTGAATCTGAGGCGGGTCTCCCCCGCCAGGCTGGTTGTGTTGCTCCCGCTCTGAGCCTCCCCGTGTCCACCCGGGGCCTGGGCTGCTGGGAGGCAAGGCTGGAAGCGCTGCCCGGCTGTGCGCCCAGAGGCCAGAGGGTCCCGGCTCTGAGCTGCTGATTCCGCCCTGCGAGGAGGTGCGTGAGAGCCTCCTGGCCCCGGGGAGGTTTGGGGATAAAGTCCGCTGTGGCACTGTGCGCGTGGCACCTGAACCTTCGTGCTTTTATCTGCCTCACCTTGGCCTGAAAGGGCAGAGGTGGCTGTAAACTCAGGTTCCAGGGGCATCTCTGTCCGTACCCCAAAGCGCCACACCCCCACATGGAGGCTGCCGAGTCCAGAGGGTCCCGTGCCCGCACCACGTGACCCACAGCTGCGCCCTCTCTGGGCCCGAGGGGGCTCTGCCCGCCTGTGCGGGGCGCCAACGGGATTAAGGGATGGGCTGCCCCGCCCACGTGCTGCCTCACCCACTGTAGGGTTTGGGCTGCAACCCGCTCTGCCGGGAGGAGGGGAGGCGAGGGCTTGCGGAGGAGGACACCCAGGTGGAAGGAAGGTGCCCGCTGGGGCTGGAGGGGCTGAGGGTCTGGGTCAGGGTGGGGAGGGCAGCTGCCCAAGCAGAGGGGGCCCTGGGGTGGGGTTTGCTTGTCGCTGGAGCCTCTGGCGAACTTCCATGGCGTCCTTTCACATCTCTGCTCTTTCCCTCTGAGCCCTGAGCCCTCCCGGCCCCATCGCCCACCCTCACCCACCCTGCCCCTCAGACCCTTGGCCCTCTCCCCCTCCTGGGAGCTGCCCTGTCTCTCCTCCCAGCTCTCCATCCCCACCCCCTTCCTCGGCCTCAGGGGCTCCCCCTCTATCCCGTGTGCCCCCCAGGATGCCTCAGCTGAGCCTCTCCTGGCTGGGACTCCACACAGCGGCAGCCTCCCCATGGCTGCTCCTGCTGCTGGTCGGGGCCTCCTGGCTGCTGGCCCGCCTCCTGGCCTGGGCCTGCACCTTCCATGACACCTGCAGCCGCCTCCGCTGTTTCCCAGAGCCCCCAAGGCAGAGCTGGTTTTGGGGCCACCTGGGCCTGGTGAGTGTGGACGCAGGAACGGTCTGGGCATCAGGTGGACGGGCTTCTGGGGGAGTCAGGAATGGGCCCCGGGTGGGGCTGGGGTCTGGGAGAGGAGAAGCCAGGGAGGCTGAGGGGAGCCCCTGCTTCCTCATCCATCCTCCTGCTCTGCCACCCCAGGCCATCCCTGCATCCTTGGCCCCCCGACCCCCAGCCTGCTTTGGACCCACTTCCTGCCTGCCTGCCCCACATCAGTGCACCTCTGCGGGGTTCCCGAGGGGCTGAATGGAGGCAGATCGCCTTGGGTTCCCCGTCTCCTGGCTGGCCTGGGCCTTCTCAGGGGCGCTGTCCAGGGGCTGCTCCCAGCCTGGCCCGATTCCTTTTGTCTGCTCACTCTGGGCTGCAGCTATTGAGCCCCATGCCCACCCCTGGGGCGCTGCTCTCCGCACCCTCTGCTGCCAGGACACCGTCCTCTTATCTGACTCTTACCCCATAAAATGTCCCATTTGGTCCGCTGCACAACAGATAAATTGGCCACTCACTTCCCTTTTCAGAAGGGTTCTACCTCCCACCTGCACTTTGACCTTTGACTTGGCCCTGCTCATGCTTAATTAAGCAGTTAATCGTCAAATTTCTTATTATCCATCTCTCCTACTAGACAGGAGGTCTGGGAGCAGGCACTGTGGTGCCCAGCGCAGGGCTGGCATCCTGCAGGCCCTCAGAAGGCTGATGTCCTAGGTGGTGAACTTGCCATCCCCTCCCTGGGTCACAGCTGAAAGGATGCTGGTCCAGCTGCTCCCCTCCCCCAGGCCCCCTGAGGAGTGAGCACAGCTTTCCTTTTCTGCCCAGTCTGGGGAAGGACTTTCTGTGATTTTACTGCTCATCATGGCAGAGTTCAGACCAGGGACATTCCTGAGCACACTGTGAGGGTCGCCTGAGATTCTGGGTCTTGGAATGTTCCCAGTGAGCCCTGGGGGCAGCGGGAATGTTCCAGTACTGTAGGTCTGCCTGCTACTCCGAGGTCTTGGCCATGGGAGCTGGTCTTGGTCACTCTCCCCTCCTCCAGCCACTTTGCTGTGTGACCTCCACTGAGTCACTCTCCCTCTCTGGATCATGCTTTTTGTGGGCCTTGAATTCTCAACATAGGATCCTGGGGAACATGGAAGGGATCCTAAATGTGAAAATGACATATGTTCATGTGTCTGGAGCACCTGGGGGTAGTTGTCAGGCTCCCATGGGACATGTCTGGAGACTGGAGAGGCCACCTCACCAGCAGGCCACCTGCTGTCCTTCACCTTTGGGGCACATGGCCTCAGATTCTTCACTATAAATGGCATGTCTGACGGACAAGTCCATAGGCTCAGGAGAGATGATAGATGGATATTCGATAGATAGTTGGACAGATGATGGGCAGGGCACGCTCTGCCGGAGGCGGGCCTGTGGAAGGGGCCCATAGGTGGGGGCCGCCCGTCTGATTGGCAGGCAGAGCTTGTGGCTCCCCTGGGGCTCGCAGGGGAGGGGCTGCCGGCTCAGGTCTGCACACCCTCCACTGTGTGAAGAACCAGAGGCCATGTGCACCTGTCACAACATGAGAGAATGTGGGAGCCAGCCCCAGGGACAAGTCCCGAGGCCATCCTGCTGCCCACAGCCTCCCCCACGGGCATCTCCCCTTGCAGCCGGAACCACCCCGAGGCCGGTCCCTGGGGGCAGAGAGCTCACCTCCTCCCTGTGTCCTGGGTGGCACCCTGGGACATGGAGAGACCTCCCAGGCCCTCCCTCCCTGAAGGGAAGGTGCAGGGGAAGCAGAGATTCCTCCCTCTGTGCAGATCCGGAAACACTGTCCCCCGGGGCTGCAGGGGAACATGCCAAGGCTCCATCAGGGGAGGTCACAGCCCTGGTCCTGCCTGCAGGTTCCCTCTGATGAACAAGGCTTGAAGTTCATTGTTGAGCAGGTGGCCACCTACTCCGAGGGGTTTAAGATCTGGCTGGGGCCCACCATCCCCCTTGTGGTCTTCTGCCATCCCAACATGATCCGGACAATCAGCAATGCCACAGGTACCAATGCAGAGCTTGTGGGGTGGGCCCCTGGCACATTCCAGGGCATCGAGCCCCCCCACACTGCAGCCTCTGTGCCACCTCTGCAGGACCCGAGCCCCTCCTCCCCTCTTCTGTCCATCTTCCTCTTTCCTTCCTGTAGTCACCAGCCCCCATCTCACCATTTCCTCCTTCCTCTGCCATCTGCCCTTGGCCCTGGTGTCCTAGGCACCATGGACACCCAACAGGCTTCCATCCGAGAAACTGTCCTTGATTGAGGTGGGTTGAGGACAGGCTGGAAGACTTCCTGGTGGAGGAGTTCCTGGAAAATGGTCTGGAATTACACGTTAAAGTTTTTAAAGCAGAGGTCAGAGTGATGCAATAGGCATCGATAGCAACTGGCGCCCAGGCGCCGAGCAATGAGGGCTGCTGCTGATGGAGTGTCCGTGGTGCTATTTCTGTGACATCCACCTCTGATGGGATGGATCCTTCTAGCCAATGCTATGGCTCGTTCCCCCAAGATCATTGTCCTTCTCCTCCAGGCTACAGGAATCTCCCAGAAGAGACCCCACCCTAGCCTGGCTCCCTTCCCTTGTCCTCTGCCCTCCCACCCCCAGACAACCAGGCTGAGCAGGGGAATGGGCAACATTTGTCAGGGGCGTGGGCCCTGACACCAAATAGCTGGGTGACTCTGGAAGGTCCAGAGGGGTCGCCGGTTCCCAAGGTCTCTTTCCCTTGTGAGTGGTGATAACTCAGCACTGTATGGTCTGAGCACAGGGAAACCTATTGACTGTAATGTCTGGGGAGGGTTGTCTTCAGGCATGGCTAGATTCAGGTCTCAAACAATGTCCTCAGGAAGCTGTCAACATTTTGGGTCGTGTTTTTCTTTGTGATGGCTGCACTCATGCTGGCAAAGATAAGTCCCAGGAGCTCAACCCCATGGAAAAGTGAGCTCATTCCCAGCAGTCCAGGCACAGTCTGAAGATGCAATTTTATTTGTGTGCCCAATTCTCACCCAATCACTCTTCACTGTGACTCTGACTGCCCCTTCATAAGGGGTGTAGGGTTCTCAGAGCTGTTGTTCTGGGTCCCAGAGCCATTCAGGGGCTGAGAATGTAGGCCCTGGATTCAGAGAGCCCTGGGCTCATGTCTCAGAGATGCAACTTACTGTCCAGGACGCTGTGGACAAGTGACATTATTGTTCGGAGCCTTCGTTTCCTTATCTGGATAAATGGGGTCGGAGGAGAAAGAAGGTGGACCTGGTGTGTGGGATCCAAACGGGGAAGCACCCTTTCCATTCCTGTCAGCAAGTGCCCCCTATGTGTCATGTCAAGGATCTGGGGAGGGATTCCAGGGGAGGCTGAGCGGCTACAGGGGAGTCACAGGGCTCAGGTCTGTGTGTCTGCCCTGCAGGTCCTCCTCTCTTGTCGACTAGAAGGATCTGAATTGGCTTCCCTTTGTTCCTCTCCAGATTGGGAGCTCAGAGGAAGGTCTCCTGTACACACAGGGCCTGTCGAGCACTTATGGGGATTTGTGTTGCTGGTGGGTGGGGCCCTGGTATGCAGTCATCCGCATCTTGCACCCGACCTGCATCAAGCCTGTGCCCTTTGCCCCTGGTAGACAACCCACGAGGTAGAACTTGACTGCTGCTGAGGTCTCTGTGCTGCCTGCAGCTGCGTAGGTGACCTGGTGGGTACAGGATGGGCTGTGGCAGAGATGCCGGGCCTCTGTCTCCCCTGGACCCCCATCTGCCGGACTTCTGGTCACATCTGCTCACACGTGGGCAGTTTGCATGATGTGTGCTGCCTGACCATGCCTGGTCATGTTTATGTTTCCACGTGTGTCCTGGTTACATTGGTATATGTTATACCGGGTACACCTGGCATATGCTTACACGTGGGATCCAGCAGAGATGCCTCAGGCATGTCTGAGGCCCAGCTGTGGCCACAATAATGTCTTAGAGGCATGTTGGTGTCTGTCTGGCTTTGTCTGAGTTGCCATTTAAGTCACATCTGGGCCACGTTTGGTGTCTGTCTGAGACGTGGGATCCAGGGTCCCTCCAGGAAATGCCTGAGACCTTATGTGAATCTTGTGTAAGGCAGGTCTTAGGGTACGGCTGGGTCACATCCAGTCAACGTCTGTGATATTAATGGGATTGTGGTTAAGTCCTGTCTGGAGCCCATCTGTGGGACATGCCACAGTCATGTCAGATCGTTTTTGGGTCCACGACTGAGCTTATTGCACCATGTCAGAGTGTGTCATGCATGTTGTGTCATGTCAGGACATGTTAACCTATGTCGGGGCCATGTCAGATGTCCCAGAATTTTGTAAAGGGCTGGGGCAGACACAGTGTCCTGGCCCCCATTAAGGTGTTTGTTGAGTGCTGGGCTGAGCTCGGGGGTTTACGACGTGTTGGACCACGTAGGAGCCATGTCAGGTGGCGCTGGGCATGCTGTGCCACGCGAGGGTGTGTCCGAGCCTGGAGGGTGTGTCTGCGGGCTCTGCCTTTGCTCTGCTCTGTGCTGAAGCCTGGTCTGCACCCTGTCTTGCCTCCCCCTCCTTCCTGTTTCCTCTGCACTTGGCCCCATTTTTGCTGTGCTGGGCGTGGAGGGGCGGGATGCCAACCCCTGGCTGGGCACCTCCAGACCTGCCAGAGTCCCTCCCCTCCCCCTCCATGGACCCCGATGGTTTATCTCTCATGTCAGCCACCATCGCACCCAAGGACAAGTTCTTCTATGATTTCCTGAGGCCCTGGCTGGGTGAGTACTGTGGGTGAGGGGGATTGGGGGCAGCTTGGGGCCTAGGAAGGCGCTGCCCTTGCCCACTCCCCACGGCTGCCTCTACAGGGGACGGGCTCCTGCTGAGTGGTGGGGACAAGTGGAGTAGACACCGCCGCCTGCTGACACCCACCTTCCACTTCAACATCCTGAAGCCTTACATTAAGATTTTCAATGACAGCGTGAATGTCATGCATGTGAGTCTTTTGGACCCAGAGTCAAAGCTGGCTTCTTTTAGGAACAGGGGCTCCGAGACATCTTCTGTGTAGTGATGGCTCTTCTGGGTGGTCGTGGGGCCACTGGCATTTCTTTCTGAGCTTCGTTTCCTCAGCTGTAAAATGGGAATATCGTTCCTTACTTTGCACGGTGGTCAAGATGAGCTCATGGAGTCATGTCCCTGGCACACAGTAGGTGGTTTTATGGTGTTAGTTTCCATATTTCTCTCACCGAATCCTGGGACACAGTTGATGATAATGATGAATATTGCAGAGTAGTTATTGCTGACTAACAAACAGAGCTCTGAGAAATAGCCCAGGGCAAGGACATCTGGGCTTCCCTTTTTTGGCACTTCCGGTAAGAAGAAAGGGGTCTCTTTCCTAATCACTTAATAACAGAAAGATGGCGAAACACACTGTAACTGAGAACTTACTATATGTCAGAAACTATGTGCCACTTCCATGACATATGGAGTCTGAGTTGATTTTCACAACCTTATGTTTTGGAGATTATTTTATCTGCATTACAGAGGATGAAATTGAGCCTCACAGAGATTAGGAAGCTGGCCCAAGTTCTCACAGCTGCAAGTGAGCTAGTAATTCCGGAATGGGCTTCTAATCTGGTTTGTCCAGCACCAAAGCAGGTCATCGTAATTGTTACTGAACATTTGACAGGTGGACCCCAGAGGAGGGCAGTGAGTTGCCCAGGGCACTCAGAGTGTAGGAGGCAGAGCCAGGACTTGAACCCAGGTCTCCTGACTCGGAACCAGGGGGTCTTCGTGACCTAAGAGGAATGGCTTCGATCCCACCGAAGGCCGGTCCCCCCTGGCGATGGGTGCCTGGGGCCAGGAGGCTGGGTGTGGGGCAGTCCTTCTTGGCGGTTGGGGTGCGGGGAAGCTCCGGAGAGGCAGCTCTTAGCCGCAGCTCTGCCCTTCCTCCGTCCAGACCAAGTGGAACCGCCTCATCTCTGAGGGCAGCTCCCGTCTGGACATGTTTGAGCACATCAGCCTCATGACCCTGGACAGTCTGCAGAAATGTGTCTTCAGTTTTGACAGCAATTGCCAGGAGTGAGTGCTTGCCGGGGGCCTGGGCACATGAGCCAGGGACCCAAGGCAGTAGGTGGGGAGGGAAGACTGATGGGCAATTGGAAGGGATACCCTGGAGGAGGTGGACCAGGGCTGGACAGTGAAGGCCGAGGAGAGGACAGAGAAGGTGTGGTCCTTTTGATAAAGGACAGAGAATGTGTGTAGGTAGAAATGTTTGATAAAGGCCAGGAGGCTAGGATGAGCACAGCATGTGCAACAGTGAGGAGAGCCTTGGAAGTGAGGTTGGAGGAGGAGGAATAGCCAGATTTCAATGACATTGAAAAGCCAGGCAGAGGGCAGGAACTGTGACCTGAGGTTCCCAGGAAGGCATGGAGGGTGTGAGCAGGTGAGGGTCATGGTCAAAGCTGAGCTTGGACATATGGCTCTAGAGAAGACCAGTTGTCATGTGGACAGTGGGTGGTACTGAAACTGGACCCAAGAATATTGAGGGAGGGGGAAATTGATAACAATGGACCCAGTGACCAATTGGGAGAGGATGAACTTGTGCAATACGGACAGTTTTGGGAAGGAGAGGGGCAAATACTGGGGAGGAGAGAGAGGAGAGAGGCATGACGCCTCAGCTGTGCTCTGCAGCCTGGGGCAGGGAAGCAGCTCACACAGATGGGATGCAGGGAGAGAAGAAAGTCGGGGCATCCTGTCCCTGGGTCATCCGCAGCACGTATGTGCGGGGGCCAGCTGTGCCTGGATGCTCGGTTTTCTGGTGGGGGGCAGCTGCCATCTTCTGGTGGGACCTGCCCTTCAGTCTTCAGGGGAGCTAAGCTGTCGCCTCCCCTCATGCCCTCATCCTGCAGGAAGCCTAGTGAATATATAACCGCCATTCTGGAGCTCAGCGCCCTTGTGTCAAAACGGAACCAACAGATTTTCCTGCACAGGGACTTCCTGTACTACCTCAGCCCTTACGGACAGCGCTTCCGCAGGGCCTGCCGCGTGGTGCACAACTTCACAGACGCCGTCATCCAGGAGCGGCGCCGCACCCTCCCCAGTGAGGGCGCTGATGAGTTCCTCCAGGCCAAGGCTAAGGCCAAGACATTGGACTTCATTGATGTGCTCCTGCTCTCCAAGGTGGGCTTCTCTGGGACCTGAAGTCAAGAGGTCAGTGGGCTCACAGCTCCGGCTCCCATTCCTCTGAGGCTGCATGATGCTCTTACCTGTACATGCAGCCATGCTTGCATCACAGGAGAGGGAGCTCTGTTATGAATCTTGGGACTCATGTAGGACAGCTGACACCTCTGTCCCTTCTACCGCATGAGAGCGAGAAAGATTTTTCTGTAGTATAAAATAATCCTGTTCAGGGAGAGGGCAATGTCTGTATGCTGTGTAGGTTTATTCCAGGGGAGATACGGAATCTGGATTTACCATCCTGGAATGTGAGCAAGTGGCTGAGGAGCGCTGCTCAATCTCTAACTTCCCAGGCAAACTGCCGTTCAACCACCTCACAACCCGCGTTTCCAGTGATTTTTTCCCAGAAAGCTCTCTTCATGTAGAAGGAGGAAAATGTTCATAGATCATCGATTCCCCTCACCAGGGACAAAACAGGAGGCAAGGACCCAAGGAGCTCGCCTGTGGGGGGCCCTTGTGATAGTGACCAACGGGGGTCTAGGAGTACAGGGTGGGCCTGGGCTTCTGGACGGAGTACGGAGCTTCACACATTGTCTCAGGAGCCCTCACGTCTGTGGTTTAGTTTGGGCTGCGGGGCTGTGTTTTCTGTCCAGGATGAAGATGGGAAGGAATTGTCAGACGAGGACATCCGAGCTGAAGCTGACACCTTTATGTTTGCAGGTGAGGGTCCCAGTGTGGGACTACAGAGGGGGCAGGGTGTCTCCATCCCAGGGACTCAGCAGTGCGCGCTGGCTGCACCACCATCCCTCCACATCCTCCCTTTGTTCCCTGAGGGCCTTAATGTGAGGACGCTGTCCACCTTCTGGTGCTGAAGCAGCCCAGAGGCCCAAGCCTGTCTGCCTGCCTCTCAGGCCATGACACCACGGCCAGCGGCCTCTCCTGGGTCCTGTACAACCTTGCGAAGCACCCCGAGTACCAGGAGCGCTGCCGCCAGGAGGTGCAAGAGCTCCTGAGGGACCGTGAGCCTAAGGAGATGGCATGGTGAGTGCAGGCGGCTGTGGCCTGTTCCTGAACCTGTCGGTGGCTCTGCTGCCCACCTGGGGAAGGGGAAAGATTTTTTTGGGCATTTACATTATTGCTCAGTGGGAGTAGGAGCACAGGGCAGAGGCAGGGTCCTGGCACCCAGCCTGGGTATCAGGGGAAAGGTTGTTGACTTTGTGGACAGTAAGACCTGGGCTGCTGGGAGAATGGATGACAGTGCTCGAGGGCATTTGATGCCACTTTGCACATAGGCAGTGAGCACACCTCCCCTCCACTCCTTGCTTGTGTCTCTGAAGTCTCATTTTTATTTTGAACATTTTCATTCTCTGGATGTTTCCTGGTCTCCTGCCTCCTAAGTCCTTCCATTGTTATCAGTCTGGAATTCCCGGGACTCGTGGGACTGAATGATTAAAATCAATCAGGTCGTGTCCAGGGACACTTTCAACTTCATCTGTTCAGTCCTGTGTTCAGCAAACGCCGTCCCACTGCGTTCCCTTTGCCCAAATCTGTACCACCCGCAGTTCTTCCCAGCCCATTCTGTGTCGTGGGGACCCGGGGAGGACCTAAACCTGTGCCTTTCAGGAGATCCCAGCTGGGCAAGTAGGAACTAAGCCCCAAGTGGTCAGATACTCCCAGGTCAGGAAACTCCCTGTCCGTGTGCTCAGGGGTGGGCTTGAGATGAGAGAGGCGAGGCTGGCAAGGGGGCAGGTCTCAGCTGAACTCCTGACCTCTGATCAGTAAGTAGATGGTTGGGTGTAGTTGGCATGCAGGAGGGCAGCCTGCACAAGTCTCAAGAGTGGGGAAGGAGGAGGGAGGAAGGAAGGGTAGAAGGGAAGGCAAGAGAGGGGGGAACGGTGTGTGGGGGAGAGAGGGACTGACTCACAGCAAGGAAATATGATGCAGGCGGCAAAGGCTGATTGAAGGACACTCTGAAAACAATAGTAATGGCTTCAGTTTTAACTGAGCGCAATGGGGAGTTATGTGGAGTGTTTGAGTGGAGGACAGGTCACATCTAGTACCAGGAAGATCTTTCTGAAGCTAGTGCGGGGGACACACTGCAGAGGACAGGCCTCAGAATGGAGACTGGGGAGGGGATTCTGAGGCCAGAGCCAGGAAGGGGCTGGGGCTGGGCCAGAGGTGTCAGGCTGGCCTGGCCCTTTGCAGGCACTACTGTCCACTCCAAGCCTCTGCTCAGCACAGCGGTCCTATGAGGAGGAGATACAGTGTTAGGCTTTTCCAGCCATGAGTTTGAATGAAATTATGCACTTAGTGAAAAAAATATGCAAAAATGTTTATGATTTAAAATATGAATTTCTTTCCTAGTCTTTGCCCTAGAGGCGACTCTGTGATTTCCTGTGTGTCCTTCCAGAAGTCTATTCTTATACCCACATATGTATGACATTTCTCTCTGTCTCTCTCTCTCTCCTAATGGGAGAGAGATCTTTTCTTTCTCAAAGTATGAGTTTTGCAATGGTAGTTTTCAAGTACAACAACAATGATGAGAACAAGTTTTTTGCACTAAATGAGACATTCAGAGAAGCCTTTGCACTGAATGAGACATTCCAGCCTCGTGCTAAGATTAACCGGAGGTAGTCAACATCTGTGTACACTGTCCCATGCTTATGCATGTGAGTGTTTCAGAAGGGCGATTGCTGAATCAAAGAGAATTTGAGATTTTATAATTTTAATAACTATTGAAAATCTGTTCTCTCCACTGAATTAGAGAAGACATATAAAGAGGACTATAGGGTTGTCCCTAACTTTTCCCACTCCCAAACTTAATCTTCCCCTTGTCTCCTGAGTCATTGATTGTCATGTTTTTCCATATCTTTCTGTGTATCATCTATGTCTGTCTATCTATCTATCTATCTATCTATCTATCTATCTATCTATCTATCTATCATCTATCTATATCTATCTATCTATCTATCTATCTATCTATCTATCTATCTATCTATCTATCTATATCCTAAAAATATCAGGTAGATTTCATTTGAATGGAATATCTCCTATTGGTTGACCTGAATATATGACTGACTTGTGGAGAAAGGATTACTTCATAATATTAGCACATAGTATCCCAGAGGGTAGAATGGACATTCATTTTGTATATTCAAATAGTCTTTAGACATTTAATAGACCCTAGATTTTTTTCTTAGTGATCTTATGCTTATTTAGTAAAATTAACCCTGTGATACTTTTGTTGCCATGGTGAATCATACCATCTATTTGGACCGAGAGAAGTTAACAAATTCATTTGGAATACAGAAATTTCACATTTCTCACTAAGCTTCATCCAGGTATTTTATATCTCATCCCCATCATCACCATCACCATCTCTCTTATTATCTTTTCTAACTGGTTATTTCTATATAGAAAAACTAATAGTTTGTGCACATTAGTTTTATGTCCAAGGAACACAGTAAATGCTAAAGATGGAGTGTCATATTAGTAACAAAAATAAAGGTCATTTAACAAAAACTTTTGGAAGAACTGAGGAGCTTCCTGTAAAAAACACTAATTCAACATGCTTCTCATGTCTGACAACAAGATAGCATCCAAATGAATTAAAAAAAATAAAAGAGTCTTAAATTCTAGGAGAAACCATGGGAAATGACTTTATAGCTCCAGAGTAGGGAATTTCCTATTCTTACTACAAATCAGAAGATATGTAATAAAGAGTTTGATATACTGATAAATGAAAAAGACACAGAGCAGTATGCAAAGAGTATCATGTGCTACTATATAAGTTTTTAAGGTGCACCAAACGAACTCTGGAAGGATCTAGAAAAATAAAAACCTAGGCAAACTGTAAGGAGAGAAATGAGTGGTACTGAGACCTAAGAATGGTGTTTTATAGTTTTCCATTTTGAACCAGCTAACTATCTCAGGCACTAAAAATTTAAATCACCACACAAAACAAGGGGATTAAAGAAAAAGAATTCATCCCCCTTACTGGATCGTCAATAGTTATGAAAGTTTTTCCGTGGTTTCTCTTGTGTTCTCTAAGTATAAAATCACCATCTGCCAAAAATGACATGTTTACCCCCACATTGCAAATTGCATTAATGTGTTCTCTTGTCTAATTGCATTATCTAGCATNCGGTCCTATGAGGAGGAGATACAGTGTTAGGCTTTTCCAGCCATGAGTTTGAATGAAATTATGCACTTAGTGAAAAAAATATGCAAAAATGTTTATGATTTAAAATATGAATTTCTTTCCTAGTCTTTGCCCTAGAGGCGACTCTGTTATTTCCTGTGTGTCCTTCCAGAAGTCTATTCTTATACCCACATATGTATGACGTTTCTCTCTGTCTCTCTCTCTCTCCTAATGGGAGAGAGATCTTTCCTTTCTCAAAGTATGAGTTTTGCAATGGTAGTTTTCAAGTACAACAACAGTGATGAGAACAAGTTTTTTGCACTAAATGAGACATTCAGGGAAGCCTTTGCACTGAATGAGACATTCCAGCCTCTTGCTAAGATTAACTGGAGGTAGTCAACATCTGTGTACACTGTCGCATGCTTATGCATGTGAGTGTTTCAGAAGGGCGATTGCTGAATCAAAGAGAATTTGAGATTTTATAATTTTAATAAGTATTGAAAATCTGTCCACTGAATTAGAGAACACTTGTGGAGAGGACTATAGGGTTGTTACTGACTTTTCCCACCTCCAAACTTTATCTATCTATCTATCTATCTATCTATCTATCTATCTATCTATCTATCTATCTATTTTTCTATCTATCTATCTCTCTATCTATCATCTATCTATCTATCTACCTATCTATCATCTTTCTGTCATCTACAATGTATCTATCTATCCATCCATTTATCTGTCATCTTTCTATCTATCTGTCATCTACCTTTTGTCCATAATTACATTTTGCATCTCCATGTAGGTACAGTGTGTAACTTGTTCTTGTACTCAACGGCGTGTCTTTCCTCTTCCTTTCTTGGTACCGCATAGCATTCCATAGTTCACCTCTTTGCTAAGGACACTTATGTAAGTGTTTTCAGTTATAATAGTGCCAAACAGCCTCCTACAGTCTCTGACTGACTTTGAGCCTGCAGTGTGTGACAGGACTTGATCCCTATTTCCTCCTTCTTTTTTTGAGGTCTGAGAGTTTATTTTTTAAATTGAGATATATTTGACATATAACTTGTATTAGTTTTAGGTGTACAACATAATGATATGATATATTCATATATTGTGAAATGATTATCACAGTAAGTTTGGTTAACATCCTTCAACATACATAGGTACAAATTATTTGTTCTTGTGATGAGAACTTTTGAGGTCTTTTCTCTTAACTTTTCAATACACAAGACATTTTTGCTCACTGTAGTCACCATGCTGTATATTACATCCCCAGAATTATTAATTTTTTTATTAAAGTGTCATTAATATACAATCTTATGTTGGTTTCAAATGCACATTACAGTGGTTCAACTGTTCCTGTGATCACCTTATACTGTTATTGAGAATTATAGTACCCCTTAATCCCGTTCTCTCTCCCCAATCCCTCCCCTTTAGTAACCACTAATTCCTTCTAGGTGTCTGTGAGTCTGCTGCTATATTGTTCCTTCAGTTTTGCTTTATTTTTATACTCCACAAATGAATGAAGTCATTTGGTATTTGTCTTCCTCCACCTGACTTATTTTACTGAGCATAATACCCTCTAGATCCATCCATGTTGTTGCAAATGGTAGGATTTATTTTCTTTTTATGGCTGAATAATATTCCATTGTGTATATGTACCACATCTTCTTTATCTGTTCATCTATTGATGGACACTTAGGTTGCTTTCATGTCTTGGCTGTTGTAAATAGTGCTGCAATAAACATAGGGGTGCATCTGTCTTTTCAAACTGGGGATCTTGTTTTCTTCAGGTAAATTCCTAAGAGTGCAATTACTGAGTCAAGTGGTATTTCTATTTTTAGATTTTTTGGTAACCTCCATACTGCTTTTCAGAGCGGTTGCACCAATTTACACTCCCACC